GAAAAGGAGAGGGGGTAGATTTCCATGCTAGATACCTCGAGGTCTACCCACTATTTTTGTTTTAATCAGCCAATAAGAGCTCGGCGTTCTGACGTCATCCCCTTTGATGATGAGCTTGCGGAACTCCGCATATCTACTACATCGATATTGAGAGGAGACGTGGTCTTTTGGCTCTGCGGTGCCGGCTGCTTCTTCTGGTGTGCATCGTTCCGACTCGGGGGTTTTGGTCGCTATTCGGCGTTGACGGTGTCTTCGTTTCACGTCCGTGTGTCTTGGCCCAATAGCACCCAGAAAAGAAGGCCCTTTCCCGAACGTCGTGACTGGTGTATCCACGCCATATAGTTTCCTCTATACTGACGAAGCCTGGCAGATGGCCACGAGAAGCGGCCGCCGAAATGGAAAAGGTGGAGCGGCAGACAACGGATGATGGGAGAGCCGAGGGACTGGCGCCGAAACACACTTCTCCCGAGCGAGCAAGTGTGTTTCGGGTCCTCGCCGCTGCAGAAGCTCTGCGCTGACGTCCAGGTTCCCCGAGAGATGCTCTGTGCTACCAGATCCTCTCGCTTCAATTCTACGACATACCCGCCTGGTGGCGGGTATGTCAACGGGTCATTTACTACTTTTATAGATAATTAGAACGGTTTGAGCTCCTTATATTTTGGATTTCGACTAAACAGAAGCTTTTAGCGACTCTGACCAGTAGAGAAGGCCCAGGACCATTTTGTGCGCTTTCGGCACCGCGGGTCGCCCCCGTAGGTGGAGGAGGTTTCTGTGTCGTCCGGTGAAAATATGACGCACTGGTACTTAGTTACCCTCTCCGTACCCGTTGGGTTGCCCGAACCCCAAGAGACGCGGAAACAGCAAAAAGGTAGACGCTTAAACATTTATGCAGGGCCCCTTTAAGGGTGAACGGAGTATAGCTGCCCTTGTCTCTCACTCTGAACGAGTTCGATTGTCAAACGCCAGCGTTCCGCGCTTTCGCGTTCGAAGAGTGAGAAGAAACAATGTCACCTAGCTTTACGTCTACCAGCTATAATCATTGCAGTAAGAGCACAGCGTTCTGGCGTCTCCTTCCTCGTTTCTCGTCGCGTAGGCCTTTCCATAGAAGGACTTTTGGCCGGTACCATTTTTATCGCTCGTACGTGTGGCGCGTGATTTGCCCCCTTTGTGAAGCGACGAACCTGGGCTGTGGACTTTAAACATTGGAAGAGTGTAAAGCGGGAGCTTGTTCCTTCATTTTGAGTGTGGGTTGTGCAAACGCCAGCAAGGCCCGCAACCCACGGCGTATGATTACGGATAGGCCGGTTGCTCTGCGTCCGGAAGACATGCCGGCTTCACCATCCACGCGATTCAACCATAAAGGCGGCGCTGTGACCTCCGATTATGCACGAGCAACGTTCAAATACAAGCATATGTCAGCATATCTGTCCATGCGCAATAATAAAACGTATAAACAATTAAAACAAATCATCCATCTTGCGGCCTTAGCGTACAATCAAACATTCCTTTCAGCTTCATTATTTGTATCGCTTTCTTTCGTAGCCTCCGTGAGCAAGCATGTTTCACTTTACGTGATAGCGAAGCCCAGGCTACAAGCAAGAGCATCTTCTTTCGAACGATGCTCGCACATGCACGAGCGCGAGCGCGAGGGAGAGTTCGGCGGGTGGGAGGGGCTTACGGCCCGCTAGGTCTAGCGGACTCAGCGGGCGCCACTTCCGCCATGATGTGCCTCCCGGCGAGTGGGTCCCCATTGACATGCGATGTATACGCGTGTAGGTTTTGCCGTTTGCGCTTTTGTTGGCGTTAGGAGAAAGTCGAAAAATCAAGCATTTTGTTACGTCAATCATAAACTTACCTCGCACAATCGAGAACTCGACTTCCAGTCAGCCCTTCTTGGTTTCCCAGATCTTGTGCTTTGCGCGGTTTTCTTTTCCTTGCGGGAGCCGGTACATCCTGAACCCCTTTTTCGCGTTGTTCGAGCACCAAACGGCACTGCAGCCCCCCATTTCTTTTTCTTCTAACGTCTGGCAGAGCGCAGCGCAGAACGATCATTTTCATCGTCGTCTCTCGCTCCATGGACTCCAGTGAGCCGACTGCCGGCTCGAGTCAGTAGGGCAAACTGGTTTTATCAGCCGCCACCAGCCCTACACCAACAAGGGTGAAGCTTGCAATTTAAGGTTATAATTATAATGCAATTAAATGCAAAGGTGCAATCAAGCTAGACGGCAAGGCACATCATGGCGGATGCGCTCAGTTGCCAGACTGTTTGATCAGTGCTGCCAGACTGGCGGCTGGATCAAAGAACCGCCGAACTCTCCCAGTATAAAAGGCTCTGGGGACGCTGGCTCGGAGCTCGCTCTTGTAGCCACGGCTCAACTCCGCTACGCTGGCACTTACTCACGGCCAGAAGTTTCCGTATCGCCACTTGGTGGCGTTTTTTCATAACCTCCTGGTGGCGGGGTTATGGCGGGGCTGACGTCCAGGTTCCCTGAGAAATGGCTGTTTGATATTCTGTGCTACCAGATCCTCGCGCTCCAAATCTGCGACCGGGCACTCTCTGGCTCCGTCGTCGAACTGCCAGGTCTTGTGAGTATAGAGGAGGCAATGATACGGTCTACTAAAAGTCTCTGCTGACAAGGGGAGAAGTGCAGGTCGTCTCTTACGTCGTGCCTAGGCTGACGAGACGCCGTTATCGATGGAAGCGCGCGCTGGACTCGACCCCTCCTCCCTGCCCCTCTTATTGTTCTCATCCTTTCATTCTTCCTCTTTGGCTTTAATCCTCGAATCGAAGGCGAAATGAGATATCACGTCGTCCTGACGTGCTTGGGTACCGGATCCGATGACTCGTAGCATAAACCCTGCTTGTAAGCACGCCATAGAACTTGTCATTCGCTAGTCGTGTGGCCTATAAGTGCCGTCACGACACTTGTTGGCCACGAACGCGAATTGAATTATTCGGCAACGGATTGATTGTTGACGAGCGCATTACGTCCGAGTGACGCGCTGCTGGTGTCCAACGCGTGAGCTGAATTCGGGTGACGTGCGGCAGTAAAAAAAAAAGCGTTCGAAGAAAAAGAAAAGAAGGTAAGAAATAGTCCTTTCTCGAATTTTCGTACCGAAACGCAGGCTTTTGGCTTTCTACCTTCGTGTAATAATTTTCTTTGGGCGCACCGAGTGATATGCCATTATGAAAATCCCAGTTTATCCCAGCCCAAAATGTATTTCATGGTCCCTTTAGCGGTCTGCACCCCGACCCGTTTGGATAAGATCATCATTCTGGCGTGAGTTCCTGTATCAGTACCGAGTGATGCACGCCGAAGACGACCCCGGGAGAGGCAGAAAAAAGACTCGCGAGAGAGGGCATGCTGACGTGTGAATCACGGCCAGAGACCGGACGGTCATGGTTAGTGATGTCCCTAGGCTATTGACTAGTGACGACCCAAGGCTACTGCGCCGGCTAAATTTCTCATCTGCATCAAAGACACCGGACGTCCACTCGGACTTATCAATGCAGAATGCTGGGCTACTTGGTTTTGGGATGTCAAGGGCGTGGTAGCGCCTTTAAAATAGGACGAAGAAGAGACAGTCGGGCTCACCAACTTCCCGCCGTGTAAGCCTACACACGTTAGAATTTTACGCAATCTACCCGATGTTCCTATAGTGTCACTACAAACACCCGACGGTCTTTTTTTTCCTCCTAAGGGACAACAACCAATGTCGCGCAGTGTCGCTCTTTTTCACTCGTTTTGTCTACCATGCGCTCAAGTTCGTTGGCCGTCGAATATTTACCAAGTTTGAGAATCTTCGGCAGTCTCGGGTCGTTTCTTATTTAGGAACAACTTGGCTCTACTTGTGCGTTTGGCAGCGGGCAGCGGCACCGCCGGGTGCTGTTGCCCTCTGCATCCTTGGCTCGCGTGCCAAAAACGGCCTTTTTCTTCTTGGCTCGAGTCGTGCGCGCCGGGCTCCTCCAACACCACATTGAAGACAAGGCCTGTGGATGACGTCATCCTCGGTGGACCTCCCACTCGCCCCACGCGGCAAAAGCGCTGACAGCTCGACCGGACAAGCTGCAGACACGTCCGCCTTGGCGTCGTCGCGTACAAGTCGCGCTGTCGCAAGCTGGGCGGTGCTGCTTGGATCCACTAGGGATGACGTCAGGGGGGGGGGGGGGGGGGTCTGCGGCAGGCCTCTTCTATTATGCTGTATTGAATCAGCAAAGACTCGCCTCTTGGTTGTCTGTAACGGCGGTGGTTGACGTGAGCACCTTATTTATTGTTGCCTCGTTGCGAAGGTGCACTCACTACAATAACAAGTGCATTCCTCTTTCCTGCGAATGCCGCTTCACCTTGAACCCTTTCTCTTCGCGATATGTTTTGCTCATTTTGCTGTCGCACGTTCTGTCATATTTCGCTTTTCCACGTTCTTGTTATGGACTCGATGTTGTTTTTTGTTTTGTTTTTTCTTGCTGGTTTTGGGATTTTCTGGCGAACCGTCACTGAGTGCTGCTTCGGTACCTTGTTGGAAAACATGCAGCCAGCAAAATGCGCCTGTCAACTCAGAGTCGAAATAGATGATGAAAGGCTACTTCTTACTATAATATACGCCGGCCTTTTTTTTTTTTTTCTTTATTACTGTTATCGAAATAATTGTTTTCTGCAGGATGCGGCGGCGGCTGCGCCTTCTCGCGAATATCCCGTCAGACACGGAGCGGCCGAGACGATGATCTGCAGGGGGAGGGCGACCCACCAGACGTGTGTTTCGGTTCTCGCGAACCGGTTCATCGCTTGCCGTGGCCGGGAAGGGCTTTCCCGGGGCGCTTTCTTTCTAATTCGAGTTTCTCGCAGGACACTGCTCCCGTAATAAAGGCAGGGAGGGAAAGGGTGTGGAGAGCGCTCTTCGAGCCCTCCTCCTCAGTCTTGCTTTGTTGTCCCTTTCCGCTGTCGGCCTCCGCCGTGTCCCGCACTAGAGGCTAGTCTTGCTTCGGAACTGGGTGGTTGTGAGCGACGTGCCGGTGCTCGTCTTTGCTCGTCGAAGGTGTGTGCGACCCCGGTGCGCGTATACCGCTGGATCGAGTGGGTGCGTGAGTCATCATCTTTGGCCCGTGCGACTCGGGAAAGTGGAGTGGGCGGCTGGCGGCGGAGGCGTCTTGGGCGCTCTTCGGCGCCTTTCGGGTTGACTTCGCTGATGTCACCCTGGAACGCCGCGCGACTCGGCTTCGATCGGTGTGGGACTGCGGACGTGCACCGCTCACGGATACGCCACTGATGCGGTCCGGCCGCCCCCGCCTGGAAAGTCGTCCTGCGCGGCCTTCAAGGTCGGCCAGAGTCTTCTCCCAAACCCCTTTTTTGGTTTAGGTACACCCGTGAGCGATATGAAGGTGAACAGCCCTCTTCTTGTTTTTGACGCTCCTGCAAGTTTTGGAACAAGTTCTGTTCCAGAAGAGGGCTAGAACGCAAAGTTTAGACCCCCAAGCCACGTACCATTTGAGACGTTGACAGTTGATATAGCTTTCGGGAGCCGTAAAACAGGCAAGAAACCAGGTAAGGTGTTCACCTTCATATTGCCGGCGGGTGTACGTTCGAATTGAATAGCGCCGCCTCATTCGTAGCCTTCACAGTGCGTCGAGTATACCCCCTTAACACGATCGGTGTGAATGTACCGGTTCCATTCGAATAGCGCAGTGTCGCTTTAACACTGTTTAGAAAACCGGTTGTCGTGGCATCCCCGAATAGCGCAGCCTCATGGGTAGCTGTGGTGGTCGTCGCTTTTCTCTTGCACTGTGGAGGTTGACGCAGTGCTATTGGATTCGGACCGGTATTCGCACAGCTCTAGTCGTTTGAATCGAAAAGTGCCGCGTCATTCGTAGCCTTTAGAGTGCTCGGGAGACCTACGACGTCTCTTTGCAGTGTTCAAACTAGGGATGGGGCTGCGCTATTCATCTCAAACCGTTGTTCGCGCACCTCTAGAACTTCAACAATCGCCGGACGTCTGCTATTCTTGTTTTTTTAGCACTTTTCTTTTTTACATCTATACGTAGATGTCCGCCCCTGCGAGCTGATGGGACCCATCAGAGAGCGTCAAAAGGGCACCATCGTGGTGTTCCTCATGTCTCTCTACGTGTTCTATAATTTCTCCACTAATCATAAACAAAAGAAGGCCCACTGACTCTCGGGTTGGACACTGTCTGATTGGTCCTATAAGTTCGTAGCGTCGGCTGTTTTTTAAATTTGTTTCCATTAATATAAATAACATAATAAAAGAATATTATTTTTTATTATTTTATTTATTGAAATCGATGTTTGGACATTCTTCTTAAAGGGTAACTGCAAAGAGAAAAAAGTTTTTTTTTTAAACAGCCTAATTGGGACAAGCATGTCACAAAACAAATGTTCCGCGAAAAAAATGATTTTTTTTATCAATATTTACGCCACAGGACGTAATTTAGTAGAGTCAGAACCTCTCCACATTTGAAACTCCCGCTCTTTCGACTCCCGCGGAAGTGGAGTACGCCCCGCCCCTCACTCTTCTTGCGTTGCGGAGTTGAACGACGCAGCGTCTCGACTTCCGGCAAGATCTGGCAACTACGCCAGGCCGCGGTATTGTTTTGGTTTGACGCGGTTTGCGAGCACATGTAGCGAAGACGTGACCGGAGAAGTGCCCCTGTGATGTTCCCGGAAGACGGAAAGTATCGTTCGTAATCGTCGTGCGCGCTTTGGAAGCGAAGGGAGTCACAGAATCCACGAGTGCGCAACCACAAGCCAAGGTTCACGACAGCGCTGCGTTGGTTTCGGCGATCTCGTTCTGTTTGGTGCAACACGGCGATGCGACAGAGCTGAAACGTTCGTGGTGTGTGTAATGCGGTGCTAACACGGAGCGCAAATTGGTTGTTGTGGGGTTGACGTTCAACGAGTTAAGTCCCGTCGTCGTCAGCTGATCCAGTCAAACTGGTCCGGGAGGACGCTGGGAGCGTTTTTAAAAGTAAATCTGCCTCGTTCTGTTTCAAAATGTGGAAGTTTCCCGACGCATACCGTGAGTAAAAAGCTGCGGGCGTTTTCAACAAAATTACGTCGTTTTAATTGAACAATGGACTCCGAATTGTTGTCCTAAATCTGCCGTTTTTATGCTTCGTGTTGGACTGCGTTTGCACAGCGACGTGTTGAATCGTGTGGTATGAATAAATTTGGGCACGATTTCGTCCTGCTTACAGATGCATGAACTGAGACCATTTTTTCCGTAGTGGACATAGTGCTTTTTTATTTTCTGTCTAGTCGCGGACGTTAGGTGCACACGGGGCGAATCTCGACGGCCTCCAGAGCGATATGACGAGAACGTAACTAGGCACGTTGGTCGCTACGCGAACGCTCGATTGCCTCCAGCCAAATAGCATTCCTTTCGGGGCGACATGGCTGCTGGAAGGCTCACTGTCGGGATCACGCATCTGACATCTCCGAAAAGTCAGCATTTGCACGCGCAAACAAGCAAAACAAACAAACAAAAAAAGCACGCTAAGCAAGCAAAGAGGAAAACGAAAGAACCGCGCTATGAAAGCCAAAACCCCGCGTCGCTTCCTATCACTAACACCTGCGACAGCTGCTAAACACACACTACTTCACTTCAAAAAGTCTCACTCAAGCACCTGGGTCAGCACGAAACGACGAAACACTGATCACTTCGGCGAAACGATTAGTCGAGGTAGGCGAGACAGGCGGGAGCAGAGACTTCGGCGGCCATGAAAGAATGGCGAAGCTTTTGGCTTTTGTTTGTATGAATCCAAACGGAAGTGCCCGTCTTGTAAACCTTTTGTAAAGAATAATAACTCTCATCACATGGGTTATTCTTTAAACGTAAAAATATGTCGCTCAAAAGGAAATTGCAACATATAACAAAGGTTTAACAACAAAGATCTAAGCTGTCAATCACACTCTTAGCCAATGAGAACCTTTTGGGATTGATGTCACATAATCACAACTTCGTGGCGCGCGATTTAAAACGGACGAAATAGCCGCAAACCAAAATGCGTCTCACGCAATAAGTATTGCTGTAAAAAATGTTTTTTCTAGCGGAAAAATTGTTTTTTGACATGCTTGTCCCAATTAGGCTATTTAAAAAAAAACTTTTTTTTCTTTGCATTTACCCTTTAACATTCGAAACTTGGGGACTCGACATTTGTGAAGTAAAGAAACATTTTCCCAAAGGCTGAATTCGAAGTTCCCGCGCGATCCGCGCCAGTGTAGTGACGTCAAAGACTGAGTCGCCCTGCAACTCCGAGTTTCTCTGACGCCTCCTAACCGTCCGGACCCGAAGTGTCGTGTTCGCACGCGTCCATGCGCACAGGACGAGGCCCAGTTGTTTTGACCGTTTGACGATTTCCTTTTCAAAGTCTGAGAGGTCGTCGGGCACCTAAAAAAAACAACTTCCTTGATTCCCCAACACACCGATTATTCTCAGTGCATGTGCCGAGCGCCGCCATGTTTTCCGAGGGACGATGAAAAGCCGGAAGGCGACATCACACCGGACTCCAAGAAACATGTTTTAGGAATACCATCATTAAATGTTATAGAAATGTTGCTTACAAAGCTCCTAAATGTTATAATCGATTACGTCGCAAATAAATAGAAGCAAGGAGGTGAGAAGAGGGAGAGAAAAGCGCGCCCAAGATAAAAGGGCCTGCGCGCGCGTGGGAAATATATATATATATTTCGTTGTAATTTTTTTTTTTTTTGATTTCACGATTGTTTTATGGGAGCCGCCATTTTGGAGCCGAGTGCGGAGCGGCAGCAATAGGGGATATTTGCTATTAAAAACGGGACTTCCCGAGTTTTCGGTACACACCTTTTCCAAAAGGGCGCCGCCATCTTAAACTTCGTCACTTCGAGTGTGGGCGTAAACATTATTTTGCCGTCGTTGCGCCAATAGAAGACGTTCAGGATATAAGTGCAACCATCACCCGTGCTCGGGACCAACATCACCTCAAACAAATACGATACAGGTTCGCCAATACTGGAAACTCCTCCGAAAACAAATGGGAGCGGTGGCGAACGTGATAGTGGCGCCTCTAGCGGACTCGGAGTCTACGGAAGCAGACGACGCAATGGAAAAGTATAGGCTCCGCGACGTCCTCGAGCTTTGCGAGCCCCGTTTCGTCACCCCAACAGCAGAAACGATTCATTACAGTCAGTCCGCTTGCAAAGCGGAATCCACTGATCGCAACTGCATTGACAAACAAATAACGCGCGCATAAACAAAGATAGAGCAATTTATTTAGAGCTCTCAAACGCCACACAGGGGGATCACACACGTTTGAAGCGCATCTGGGAAGCGGAAAAAAGGCGTTTAGCTGCTCGAACTACGTCGTAAGAGGTTACTGTTTATACGTTACAAACTGCGTTGTCGCAATTTATTACCTGAATATATGATTATTAAAGCGTGCGCAGACAACATGTTAAAATTACCAGAGCGAGCTCGCAAGCCTCTGCAGCATTACGAAACAAAAAGTAACAAAGAAAATGACCGTGCAAACACTTTCCGAACTTTGCAATAAGGATGGAGTCCCGATCCCAGATGAAAATAAAAAGAAATGGGGAACAGTCGCGAACAACGGCGAATGAAACCAAGAAGTTGGCAGACGATACAAAGATACAAATCACCCAGCAAAGACATCCTTCAGCGAGGACGATCACACGGGGCGTCGGCAGGAGCATTGAAAATTAGGAGGTGGTGCTCGCCGTTGGTGTTGAGTCCGCAACAATCAAAATGGAAGCAGCACGACGAAACTATAAAGAAAAAAGAGCATCAATTTTTTTTTTTTTTTTTTTTAGCTGTACGTTACACGTTTGTTTATTTTCTTTCGCGGCGCTGGTAAGAACTAAGAGCAAAACAGAGGAAAAGAATAACGTAGTCCAGCTCAGACTGCCCGATAAATAAGAGCCGTACGCTGCGATCTGTTTCGAGCTAGCAGTGTGTGACCTTTTTTTGCTTTGGCATTTCTCTTCCCAGTGATTGTGGCAGGTTGTTTGTTTGCTCGCTTGGCGCAGCAGTTCAAAAGTACATTCCAGTACTTGTTGACGTACATATCCAGGCGATCCTTGCACACCGTGCCTTTGTTTCGAGTGCCAATCAGTGGACTTAATTCCGTCTTCAGCTCTTGTTTGATGAAATAATCATCTCTTGAGGTGTCAGTGGCGATTTTGAAGCCAGACTTGGATAGCTCTTCGAGTTTAATTTAAAGTAACTTAATTACTCACGTATGTTCGGTCTTCGGGAACCGGAAGAAGGATTTTCCGTTACATCACAAAAACTTGTTTTTTGCAGTGG